ATTGTATTTTGTCATGACCATAGAATCGGAACATGAAGCCACACTTGTGAATGTATGAATTTTATCACTTCAAAGAAAAAGGTGGTCATTTTGTTAATTACTCATATTTAAAACATGTTTCGCTTAACCTAGAATTAACCTAGTCACTGTCTAATCTCCCACACAAGATATTTCCCTCCCAAAGCATTTTCCATTCTCTACTATGTCTGATAAAAGCATGGAAATGTCTGTGTGTATTTTCATAGAAAAATAAATAACATAAAACCAAATAACTACAGACTACACAAATAAGCCATAGCTAGCCACTTTAGGATTGCAGCAACATTTTGAAAAATAAACTTGTTTTTCGGAAAAGCAGCAAATAATTATTTAACCTTCACTGTTTCAGAAATAACAATAGGCTAGCACTCCACTAAACACTTCATACTCAGCAAAGCAGCTACTCCCAGGCCCAAACAATGCTTAGCTTTCAAAATGCATCCTTTTTCTACAGCAATTCAATTACTACCCACTGAACTACGTATAGATACATTCACTGAGCTGGCAGAGAAAAATATCTGTAAAACAGATATCTTCCCCCTGGAAACCTCAGAGGTATGCTGTGTACACATTACTTTTCACACTGGCAATCCCTTGTTCCTCTTTTTTAAATGACACCACGGTGCTCCCCATTCAGTTACACTGTGTCTGGGAGTTAATTTATGCTATTAGCTATATTGAGTTACATGCTAAGGACTTGATTCATAAGAACATAAACATGACCATACTGGATCAGATCAAAGGTCCATCTAGCCCAGTATCCTGTCTTCTGACTGTGGCCAATGCCAGATGCCCCAGAGGGAGTGAACAGAAGAGGTAATCATCAGGTGATCCCTCTCCTGTCACCCATTTCCAGCCTCTGACAAACAGAGGCTAGGAACACCCTTCCTACCCATTCTGGCTAATAGCCATTGATGGACCTAAGCTCCATTAATTGATCTAGTTCTTTTTGGAACCCTGTTAAAGTCCTGGTCTTCACAACATCCGGAGGCAAGGAGTTCCACAGGTTGACTGTGCATGGCGTGAAGAAAAACTTCCTTTTGTTTGTTTTAAACCTGTTACCTATTAATTTTGTTTGTTGATCCCTAGTTTTTATGTTATGAGAAGAAGTAAATAACTTTTCCTTATTCACTTTCTTCATACCTGTCATGATTTTATAGACTATCATATCCCCCAATGATCTCCTCTTTTCTAAGCTGAAAAGTTCCATTATACCCATGTCAGTCTGGAACAAAACCTGGCGGTGGGCTTTGACTGGGCACCAAGTATTATGGCATTATTTCAGTTATGGTTGCTTAGGGTGTACACAGCAGGGCTTAACTCGAAATAAGCTACACAAATTGAGCTACCTCAATTGCATAGTTTATTTTGAAATTGGGAGTGTCTACACAGCACTTATTTTGAAATAGAGCATTTTTCCTCAGACTTCCCTTACTCCTTGTACAACAAGAGTTAGAGGAGTTGGAGTAAGAAGTCCTCTAGCTTGACAGTATTATTTTGAAATAACTGCCTGCTATGTAGACGCAGACTACATTATTTTGAAATAACAATAGTTATTTTGAAACAATGTTGCTGTGTAGACATACCCTTAGAGTGCTGAAGACAATATGGCTACATCTACACTGCAAGGTTTTTGTGCCAAAACCTTTTTCCACCGTAGGTAAACCTCCTTTTACGAGGCATAACTCCCTTTTGCGCAAGAGTTCTTGCACAAAAAAGCAAGCGTGGATGCTCCAGAAGCAAGAAACCCATTTGGGAAAAAGCACAGGTGCTCTCATGGCCATTATGTGAATGGCTATCAGAGCTTTCTTGCATAAGAGCATCCATACAGTATGGATGCTCTCTTGCGCAAAAGCTCATCGCTTTTGTGATGTGCTTTGAGGTATGGACGTGCTCTTGCGCAAAAGGCTTCTTGCACAAGAAGCAAGTAGTATAGACATAGCCTATGTGTATAGTTTTGTCTATTGTATGGTAGATGGCTGGGTGCCATTTTAAAATCTGTTATTTCATACTGGAATGAAACAAAAGCTTTCAAAAGTTTTCTCCAGATGGAATTGTGTTAAATGGATGCTTTCAGCCTCAAAAGTCTATGGGTTTTTTTATTGGCATTGGCCAGGAGTGCACAAAGTCCTGAATCTCCAACACCATCCCAACAGAAATGCCATTAGGTTTCTATGAAACAGCACGGCATTGGCCAGGAGTGCACAAAGTCCTAAATCTCCAATTAAATTTCAATTAAATTTCATCAATCAGAAATGTTCTGACCAGCTCTAGATTTTGAGCAGTAACCATTTGACTGGCAGCTTACAAAAATCATTGAAAGACAAAGACCCGATCTTCTAAAGGTGGATTGATTTGTGCCTGTCAGTGGCTGAATTTTATCACTGAGGAGCTCAATTAATTTCTCGTCAGAAGAGATACCAACCAGGATTGGATTATGGTAACTCTGGCATCTAGGCACATCATGACATGAGGCACCTCCTTTGGCCCTGCCTGTATCCAACTCCTTAGTGTTAAAAGCCAACCCATAAAAAGGCCTACTCCTTGGCTGGTGAGGAGCCTGCCACCACACATCTTTGGGCATGGTGGGTGGAACAGGGTGGCACAATTTTCCCTCTATGAGCAATGGCAGTAACAGCAGCAGGGACACCACCTCTGCCTCAACAGAAAAGCAGCAGCAATGTCTATACAGAGCTCTCCACAGTATTTACCTCAATTCTCTGGGCTTGGGTGGGTGGGCTAGTTTCAGCTCTCTTCCTCCTCTGGCTGTATCCAGAGTCCTCTACTGGGTTGGCGTTGGCAGTGCTCCTTGGAGCACTGGGTCTTGATGTTAACATCCCAGAGAAGACAAGTCCAGGGCAGTTCATATCTTTTGGAGCTATTGCCCTTGGCTGTTTGAATACTCCCAAGAGCCAAAGCGGGGGCTCAATCTGTAATGGGTATGCCTTAAAATAGTCTTTTCACCAGCAGTTGCCAGTCTGTAGAAGTTGCTATACTCTAAAGTTCTTGCTCAAAAGTTGCTTAAACTCCTGAGAAATTCAATTACCGAAATCTCATCCAAATCCCTACGGGGGCTTTGCAAACACAAGCCGTTGTTTTTAATTCTTTGCTACCTAGTAGGCATCACTCCACTATCATCGGGAAGCTTTGGAAATAATCTCTGATAGTTGTAACATTTATTCACAGTGACTTTAACTGATGAAAATTCACTAACCATTAATACAATTGTGTCAATCAGCATATGATTCATATCAGGTTGTGAGACTGGCAGGAAAAGACAACATTGATTTGTAATGAATGGGAGCTATTTCAATCATTTAGACAAAATAAAATGCATCCTCTCTCAAAGGCTTTTTCATTACATTTGAAATGGGTAGGGCAACAAAGAACAACATTCCCTGTGATAAATGACAGCTGTTTAAGTCTTAAGCGGAAGTTGTCAGTAAAAGTTGATACACAAGTTAGGATTAATTTGCATGCCAGCAGTGATGAGTTTTATGAGTATTTAAAAACTTATTCTTAAAAATGAATAACCCTAAAAAGGATGATGTTCATATAATCATAAGAAGGGACCTCAAAAGGTCTTCTAGTCCAGTCCTTTGCACTCAAGACAGTACCCATTATTATAGCCACTCTCCGAGTTATGGACCAACACTTGGTCCGTAACTCGAACTGTTGGTAACTTGGATCCCATAGAGTTACACGGCGACCACGCTGTTCGTAAGCGCGGATCACCATTTGTAACTCGGATCCGCATTTACAACCACTTTGGTTGTAAGTGCGGATGGTCCTAAGTGGAGGTGGCCGTAAGTCGGAGAGCGGCTGTATAGGCAGTAGTGCAGATTACTTGTCCGTTAGTTTCTGTGTAGCTAATAGTACAGTATATTTTTAATTGCACCAGAACCCCACTAATCTGCCTTCTGGTAACAGAATGATCTCTACCTTACAGCAAATATTAAATGCACATTCTGTAATAAGCAAGATCCCACATTTGTATAGGTTCTGACCTACAAATGCCAAGCAGACTGGATTCTTCCTAGCTGAAGCACTAGCTCTCTCTCTGACCTGCTCGCACAGCAAATATCACATTGTCCCACCCAGAGCAAGGGCTGCTGGCAGAACGGTCTATCTGCCCCTTTTCTTTAGAGCGCTCTCCTCCATCATGGTCTGAAATACCTCAAACTTGTTGACATTCCAGGCATGCTGCCACTTAAGCAGCATTGGAAAGAGACGGATGCGAATGAGGTCTGGAAATTGGTTGCGGGAGGAGTGTGATGTAGGAATTTGAATTTATATGGGGTTTACTGAAAAGCTAGATATAATGGGGAGTGACATGGGAAGGGGAAGACGACAGTCCTCTGCTGCTCCAATTGCTTGAATAATTTTCTTTCTTGTGCTTTTAAAGGGACATCGAGGGTACATAAAGCTGTGTCTGGACATTCTTTGGTGTGGATATTTGAAATGTAAATAAAGTATCTGTGCATGTAGGTTATGAATTAAAGCAGAGCCCCTTTACTGTAAGTTATATCCGTACTCTAACTCCCTCGGGCAGCATTTATGTGCTACAATTTATATTTCAATATAAACACCTAGGGTGGCTTTTCAAGAATGCTCTGCCTCCATAAGTGGGGCCAAACTGCAAAAGAGTTTCACCTCCAGCAGTTTCCATTGAGAGCAAATGGGATTTGCAGGATAAGGAACGTCTTTAAAAATCTGATCCTTGGTGCCCTTCGATTTACCTCACACATTCCTTAAGTATTTGGTAAATTCGGCACGAGGCCTTCTGCAGTCCCTGGATTTAAATTATCGGTTGTTATGCTAGACTTTTTCTCCTTGTGTCCTCATTTTCTAAGGAAGACTGTCTTTTGATCTAAAAATTGATGTTTTTAAGCAAAACACTTAAATGCACAAAAAATGTACCCGACTGCATTCATGTAAAAAAAACTGACAAAGACCATATGTAGGCAAAATAAATATTTTATTGGTTTAATATTCCTGTTTTTGGAAATTAGCCCTTAGGTGCGTCTTCCAAACACATTTATAAGTCTTTCAGACAAGCCTTGTTATAGAATATTATTATACTTAACTATTCTTTGATTGACACGTTGACAAAATATAAACATTTTTAATAGCTAGAAATGACAAAGGCACAAAGGAGAATCTTGGCAAACGTTACACATCCATTAAGTGTCTGTTTGACCATACAAAAACCCCACATATGAAACCCATTCTCTTCCATTTTGAACCATCTGAACAAACACATTTTCACTGGCCTACGTTACAATACAACCAGTTGTATGTGGGTGGGGTGGACGGAAGAAGAGGATAATTTACTTTAATCTCCCCCAATACAGCCATAGCCACCCACCCTCTCCAAGTCATAAAAAAACCCATTACTTTTCCCAAAGAGCAGTATTTTTATTGTCTTTTGGTTAATAAAAGTCAGAAAAGAACTCATCTTGATATAACAGAGAAGTCTTCAACACATACACGTACAGTGTTTAAAATAAGGCACATTTTCAAAGAAAGGAGGAGGAATAGGAAGAAAGCAAAATAAAATTAAAGTTATCTTCTGCATACGGAGAAAGCTTTCAGTGTAAGAACTTTAAGTAGTTTTAGGTAACCTCATATCGTTCTACCACTCTGCTAATAGTAACCTCCCCAAGAATTAACAGAAATTTTTACAACAGAAATTTTTTCTTCTTTTGAAGTGGCACTAAGTAACAGCAGTGGAAACAATTATTGGTTGTTTCAAGCTCTCAAAGTGAATCAGTTATTGCACAGTAATTACCTCACAGAGGTCAGTGTTTTTTACATATACATATAAAAAAAGCTAGGTTTAAGATATTTGTTATTTATAAATTGGTTAGATCAAGTTTCATGACACACCTCTCCATAAAGAAATCAGCTACACACAAATTAACAACAGGGACATACAAATAAATATTGGGTATTTCAAATGACCATAGTTTTCTTGATAGTTTATGGATAATAGTAAACTAAGCAAAATGTCTAAATCATTATATGTCAACTTAAGAAGAAGATAAGGAATGCATCATAGAACTAAGCATTGTATGCAGTAGCCTCTCTCAGCAGCTGTAGTGAAGCCAAAGTACATAATTTTACACCGTCACCAGCGTACGTGATCCAAGAGCAGAATTCCACAGCTTTGCTGGTCCATATGCCAATCCTTTGGGGAAAGAAAAGGCAATGAAATATTTATCATTTATGAGACAACTAGATGCATGAAGAAGTGACACAATGGTGTCCCTTTAAACTTGCTATTTTTATTTTGATAGCCTTCATATCTGCACTAGTCAAGATATGCTCTGCACTTAATACACAGATATATAAAGGGTGCATTGTGGACACAGAAATAAGGAGGTTACCTGTTAGGTAAAAATGGCAAGGTTAAGGGCCATTGCTGACAGACGGCTAGAATTTTCAAAGTCATCTAACAGAGTTAGCATACATCATTCATTAATTTTAATTAAACTTCAACTGAGCTGGTATGAAGTGGATTATTCCCATGAAAGCTTATGCCCTAATAAATCTGTTAGTCTCCAAGGTGCCATAGGACTCCTGATTGTTTCTGCAGATACAGACTGACCGGCTACCCCTCTGAGCTAGTATAATTTAGGGTCAGGGGAAAAGACGACTTGGCTTTCTTGTAAGTAATTGTGCAAGTATTCTTAAAAACACATCTATCACAAATATTCTGTATCATGAAAAATTCTTGTGCAGTTTCAGTAAGTTAAATCGAACAATCAATTCACAACAATTACCTGTAGTACCGGTTTCACGGCTGTGTATCTTGCTTTGCATTAGCAGATCTAATTGGGGATGATACAGCTGCTAGCAGTCCACTTACTATTTCCCGTCTGATTTCACCAACAATAGATTCTTTGATCTAAAAAAAGATTAAATGGAGTTTTAAGGTCATCAAGTTATACACAGCTCTGCACTCAAGAAGGTAAAATTACACAGTACAGTAGAACTAACTGCATGCCCTAGGAGCCATAGTAGCAATGAATGCTTTAAAAAACTACAGATAGAAAAGACTGAAAATTAGGGTGCTATAAACTAAGTACCTTTCCAGACTGGAGAACTTGGCTTCAGCTTCCACTATTTATTCCCTTCACTGCATGTCAATATATTCCCTTTGTATTCTCCTCTAACCCCTTCTATACACCTTCTCTCAGGCTGCCAGAGGTGCCATTTCAATCCCCTAGGAATATGTCTACTCTGCACACCAAGCCCAAGCCCTGATTTAGGTTTGAGCTACAGTCTCTTTCCATCCATAAAGCAATCTGATTCAGATCAGCCAGCAATCAGGACCTCTGTATCCGTGGACCCTGCAAGTGAGGTGGATCACTTATAAAGCATTAAATCCCCCTCACTCTTAACAAGCAACCACCACCATGCAGGTATTTCCTGGTGGTGTGAAAAGTGCCAGAGTGACAACACCAGAGATTAAAGTCGTTCAGTTATCTACAGAAGATGAATAGAAGCTTCTTCCCATGGTCGTGTAACCCTGTCCTAGAAGAACATCTTTTAAAAGCAAGAAAGGCTTATTTTTTACCATGCCAGTTAAATCTCTTGGGCTGTGTCTAGACTACATGCCTCTGTCGTCAGAGGCATGTAGATTAGACACATAGGCAAAGGCAAATGAAGCCGCGATCATTTAAATCGCGGCTTCATTTAAATTTACATGGCTGCCGCGCTGAGCTGACAAACAGCTGATCAGCTGTTTGTCCGCTCAGTGCGCTAGTCTGGACACTCCCCTGCCAACATCAAAGCCCTTTGTCGGCAGCCCCATTATTCCTCGTGGGATGAGGTTTACCAGGGCTGCCGATAAAGGGCTTTGATGTCGGCAGGGGAGCGTCCAGACTAGCGCGCTGAGCGGACAAACAGCTGATCAGCTGTTTGTCGGCTCAGCACGGCAGCCCTGTAAATTTAAATGAAGCCGCGATCATTTAAATCGCGGCTTCATTTGCCTTTGCGAAAACAACAAATCTACATGGCTCCGTCAACGGAGCCATGTAGTTTAGACATACCCTTGGTGTCTCTACTGAGACTAGTGCCAATAGTACTGGTGATTTTATATTATATAATGGACAAGCATGTAGTGACAGAATCAGACAGGCTACTGCACAAAATTAACTACATGTGTTATGAGGAGCATAAGAGACAAGACTAGGTTCTATACATCAGGAACAAAAGATGAAGGAAAGGGCACGTTCCTTTCAGCCTTATATTTGTATGGCAACCATATTTCTCTCACCTAGGCTATCGAACTGAGCTGGATTTGAACAGGAGACACACAAGGGAAAGAATCTATATCACATCACTAGTCAATTCCTTGAGCTATCTAATAAACTAATATTCCATTCATTCAAGCAGGGTACTTATAGGGTATTATAAGCTTCGTTTAAGTACAATATCATAAAGATTCTCCCCTCCCCCCACCCATGGAACACAGTTAAATAATCATCGGCCTAAAAACAGCTTCTTTCATTTTGTTAAACAACATTCAGGGTAATACAATAAAGGACCCAGTTGCACTTCTTGCAATGCTGTGATCTGAGTCTAGCAGTAAGCACTGTATGGTGATATTTCAATAGAGACGAGACTGTACTTCTATCAAACAAGACAACCAGTGTTCACTACACTGACATTTAACAGTGCTGAATTCCATTCTGTGGAAGTGCGTTCATTTACTCTGAGAGCGAGTAATTTAGGTTTTGTTTGGGGGTTTCTTTAGTCAGTAAACTGTTATAGGGCAAAGCTCCCATACACTCAAGTACATTCTGAAACACTACATACCTTCTCCTTGCCCAATATGAGATCATGTGGCTATACAGAAGGAGAGGCATTATTTAATAAGTAATGGGGGTTAGTATTTGTGAAGGCATATACCAAGAATGCTTACGATTTCCTTTCCTTCTCCAATAAAAAAGAATTTCAGTGCTAACAATGGAGTTACACAAGCATGACACATTTCAATTTGTGGTAATTTTAATGCGTATGAAATGGAAAGATTCTCAAAAATAGCATGCAGGAGCATTTGCAGACACTGCAAAAATCTTCCCATACCCCTATTCCAAACCACCTAAATCCTGACTTTCAAAACAGTTCCTATTCTGGGACTGAATCTCTCCTGGGTAGGTTGCTAATAAAGTCAAATTGTGTGACAACGTTGTTATATGTTCAAACATCCCCTGTGAAGTGAGTCCAGGTCAACTAAGTCAACATATTTGAATCCCACTCTGCTCAGTTAAAAAACTGTTGTGCTGAATTTACAGAGGCCTCAGAAAACAGACAAATACCATGAATCTCTCTTCAGAGACAATATTTTTTTTTATTTGCTATCACCTAAGATTTAAAGAGGAACTTTCCACACTGGTATAAATTTGAAAAAGAACATTTCCTGAAATATCATACTTTGTCACCATTTTTCTTTGTTTCCTGGGCTACGCTTACATACAGTTTGAATTACAACTTTCTCCTTCCTCTCCTAGCTTCCTCTTCTATAACATCTGGCAATGATATCAGCATCTCACATATGTGTCGGTTGCAGAAAGAACAATAGAGATGTCACAAATGCAACATTAAGGTTCCTTTGGAAGACCACTACAGAAAGATAAAGTGGGCTTCAGGGAGGATCTCCAGTGTAACTCATCAAATGGCCTCAGCAGTACAAGAGACACCTTTAAAAGGATTAAAAGAAATGGATCAGAGAATAAAAGAGAATTTGGGATGTCTTGTTGTACCTGGTCCTGTCTCCTGAATCAAGTAAGCAGTTTCCAGAACTCCTCTCACCTTTCCTTGAGCTACTCTACTGGATGGATGCCATTAAAAACAAACAAAGGCCTTTACCACAGTCACTTCAGCTACTTTCTATTCTGCGTATAGAGGTAAATGGTGGTAATCTCAAACCCTTTACTCCTGATACAATGACACGTACAGCATGTTGTCATCTTAATGCTATCACAGAAAACATGATGTGATCATTCTAGGTATCTCGCACAAATAGCCAGATTGGGATCCCCTTACTCCACAAATTCTCCAGTTACTTTAATAGGTCTACTTATGGTGTAAAGTACTATTCAGATGAACAAGGATATTGAAACCTTTGTTTGACCATAATACCAAGCTGTTTTCTAATAGCCAAGCCAGATGCATCCTATGGAAACATTAGTATTTTGCTGTTTTAACATTGGTATCCAGTCATTGTACTGCAGTTTTCTGTCTTTATTTTGGCTAGTTAGGCAGGAAACAGATTAAATTCCTTCAATCTCTTTTCATATTCTTCTCATGCTCTGAAGATCTCTAATATTATTTACTATTCTATGCTACCTGATTTTGGGAGGGATCGGAGAGGATAGAGGATCATGAGGCACTCCTTACTACGCATTGTGAGTGGCAATACAGAGGAAGGAGGATGGTGGAGGGAAATCTTCCTAGGGCTTAGGTACTTCTCCTTCTGCACAGATAGGCGGCACTGAACTGGCCTGCCCAAGGCAATAATTTGTACATCTTTACTATGTATAAAGTTGGATGAGACTACTCCCCCAACTCCCAGCATCCTGGAGCAACTGGGAACCAGATATTAGACTGAAGCTCAGAGATCCACACTTCAGTAGTGGTGTTCTCCTGGAACAGCACAAGCACATTCTTCCTCTCTCTCAGGGTTCACAGCAAAGCTACAATTGAGCCTTAAGTGACCCACTCAGAGCTCAGACTACAACTTGCAGGCTCCTAATCCTAAACGCTGTGTACAGAGCAAAGAGGCCACATTACCACAGAACCAGTTTTAAGAGAGAAAAAAAAAAATCTTGATTTCTTTTTCCTTTGTAGGTTGGGTGTCATGAAGTTTAATTATCATGGCCAGATACATACAATTAAAAACAAAACAAAAAAGTGTCCCTGACCTCCTTTAAAGCCAAACCAGCAGAAAAATAATGCGACAACTAGGGATGTAAGCGAGTAGTTGAGTACCTGATAAACCTAGGCTTATCTGGCAGTAAAGTCGACTACTCACATTCCCCCACCCCCTGCTGCCTTTGTATAGAGGCAGCAAGGGGGGCGAAGC